TGTATTTGTGGTTGTTGTGAAACACGGGTTGTCTAATTAATGTCAGTTTGAGACAAAGAACAGGTTTCGTTCGTACTTTTATGTTTTTTCGGTAAAGTCACGTAGGTAAAAATAAATAATAAATAATAAAAATTATAGAAATCATAATAGAAATAAAATAATAAATCACGTTTCGGGCGCAACACAAGCGTCCGTCATCAGATGGGACAGCCACAGCAAGAAGCAATTGCTGGAGTGGGCAAAAGGGCTGCTGTGACAAGAGGCTATATAGGTAAGATAACTTATAACAGACTGTTGGGACACGTGCTGTTAGCGAGCACCCATTAATGCAAAACCACAGCAATAATTTTCTTGCTGTCGTTTTCACACCTGATGATGATTCCTTGTGTTGCAATCGAAACGTCGTGAGACTTTGATCGTTTTATATTTGTATTTTATTGTTTCCCTTCTACGTGACTTTACCGAAAGAACCAAGAATATGAATCCCTGCAGCCACGAAAGCTTTCAATCAAAAGGGCTTTACCTAATAAATGAAACTGAAACTGTCGACCCACAGCCAGACCACGAGGCCTGCCCCACCACACCCCACCACGCCCCACCCCACCACGCCACTGCTCCGTGCGGTGCTCTGTCACGCCGCCGTGGTCGGTGCGGGATTTGAGAAGCGGGGGCGTGGGCCCAGGACCGGTTTCCCTCGCTCGACCGAGGAGTAATCTCGAGCGGGACGTGTTGTGTCCGTGACCTGGCACAACTCCTCTTCATCATTACACCTCGGGCCTCTGCGGTCAAGCCACCAGTTGGATCTCATGCGGCGGCGTTCATCCGTCGGATTCTCGTTTGGCACTCTGCCGTGTCTCCGCTGAGTGTCGCAGCGTCATCCTCCGCCCAGTGCCAGTGAGGCCACGCCCGCGGTTCGCGCTGCAATTAGCCTGATGCTGATTGCATCGCCCAGTGCCTGGCACAGAGGTGTGGACTCGAGTCATGTGACTTGGACTCGAGTCAGACTCGAGTCATGAATTTGATGACTTTAGACTCGACTTGGACTTGCATAACAATGACTTTGTCCCACCTCTGGCCTGGCACGCTCTTTGCTGCTGCTGCTGCTGCCTCGCCCGGACCCAACCGGTTGTGCAGCGTCCGCCGCGCGCGATGAGCTCACGACTCTTCACGGGCGAGCGGGCGAGAGAGACAGAGAGGTTTTTGTTGTTGTCGGAAATCAGAAAAGCCTCATCCCACTCACTCTTCAGTCAGCCCACGCCGTGCACACTCCCACGGCGTGTTCCGGACCCCCCCCCAGACTCCGCCCTCTCTCACCAATGCACCCTCGACACGACCACGATCACGACGACGATCACGACCACGATCCTTCACACTCGACGCCCGGTTCGTCACTCGCCACTGTTGTGGTCTTCAAAAATCAAAAATAAACAAATCTGTGACGTTTGTTCTTTGAAGAAGGCTCATTGCCCGAAACGTCGTATATCGTGATTGGACTCGGAAGCCGCGGTTAATTCCACGCACCCAGGGCCCATGGCAACCGCGCTCCGCCTTGGGTACACAAAGCTCCTTGGGTACACAAAGCTGGGTACACAAGGCTGCTTGGGTACACAAGGCTGCTTGGGTACACAAAGCTCCTTGGGTACACAAGGCTCCTTGGGTACACAAGGCTCCTGGGGTACACAAGGCTGCTTGGGTACACAAGGCTCCTTGGGTACACAAGGCTGCTTGGGTACACAAAGCTCCTTGGGTACACAAGGCTCCTTGGGTACACAAGGCTGCTTGGGTACACAAGGCTGCTTGGGTACACAAGGCTGCTTGGGTACACAACGCTCCTTGGGTACACAAAGCTCCTTGGGTACACAAGGCTGCTTGGGTACACAAGGCTGCTTGGGTACACAATGCTCCTTGGGTACACAAGGCTGCTTGGGTACACAATGCTCCTTGGGTACACAATGCTCCTTGGGTACACAAGGCTGCTTGGGTACACAATGCTCATTGGGCACACAATGCTGCTTGGGTACACAATGCTCCTTGGGTACACAAGGCCGCTTGGGTACACAAGGCTGCTTGGGTACACAAGGCTGCTTGGGTACACAAGGCTGCTTGGGTACACAATGCTCCTTGGGTACACAAGGCTGCTTGGGTACACAATGCTCCTTGGGTACACAATGCTCCTTGGGTACACAAGGCTGCTTGGGTACACAATGCTCATTGGGTACACAAGGCCGCTTGGGTACACAAGGCCGCTTGGGTACACAAGGCTGCTTGGGTACACAAGGCCGCTTGGGTACACAAGGCTGCTTGGGTACACAATGCTCCTTGGGTACACAAGGCTGCTTGGGTACACAAGGCTGCTTGGGTACACAAGGCCGCTTGGGTACACAATGCTCCTTGGGTACACAAGGCCGCTTGGGTACACAAGGCTGCTTGGGTACACAATGCTCCTTGGGTACACAAGGCTGCTTGGGTACACAAAGCTCCTTGGGTACACAAGGCTGCTTGGGTACACAAGGCTGCTTGGGTACACAAGGCTGCTTGGGTACACAAGGCTGCTTGGGTACACAAGGCTCATTGGGTACACAAGGCTGCTTGGGTACACAAGGCTCATTGGGTACACAAGGCTGCTTGGGTACACAAGGCTGCTTGGGTACACAATGCTCATTGGGTACACAAGGCTGCTTGGGTACACAATGCTGCTTGGGTACACAAGGTTGCTTGGGTACACAAAGCTCCTTGGGTACACAATGCTCCTTGTGTACACAATGCTCCTTGGGTACACAAGGCGCATTGGGTACACAAGGCTGCTTGGGTACACAAGGCTGCTTGGGTACACAAAGCTCCTTGGGTACACAAGGCTGCTTGGGTACACAATGCTGCTTGTGTACACAAGGCTGCTTGGGTACACAATGCTCCTTGGGTACACAATGCTCCTTGGGTACACAAGGCTGCTTGGGTACACAAAGCTCCTTGGGTACACAATGCTCATTGGGTACACAAGGCTGCTTGGGTACACAATGCTCATTGGGTACACAAGGCTGCTTGGGTACACAACGCTCCTTGGGTACACAAGGCTCGTGACGCGCGATCAGAGACGGCCCCCGGGGGTGCACGCGCGCTCAGCCTGCGACTCGCGCTGACCACGCAGAGGCACCTGCACGCCCCGAGGGGCCCTCCCAGGTCCCACCGAGTCTGGCCACAGTGCAGTCGCGTTGTTCTCCCATCACGCGGTGTTCCTGATAAACACCGCGGTATGAGAAACTCTAGTTATAATGAACAATATTTGATATAGGGGGTAAAGCGCAGTCCGCGATAACACGTGAGATGCGTACGCAGGCCGAACAAACACCGAGGCGCGTGGGTAGCATCTAGTAGCATCTAGAACAGGGGTCGGGAACCTTTTTGACTAGGAGAGCCATAAAAGCCAATATTTCTAAATATATTTCATTGAGAGCCATATAGTATTTTTAACGTATAATAAATTAAATGTCTTACTTTTAATGCGACTTCTGGTGCTGCATGGTTTTGCTGATGGCTTTGTAGTCAGGTTCATACGTGGTGAGGTTGAGCTTCATGCAGGCGTGACCCGTGAAATGTATCTTCAAAACTAATTTCTGTTTACTTTAAAATGACACAGTATTATTAAGAAATATTGCAAGTATTTTAAAATCAGTTCCAAACTGATTTTTTATTTTTTTATTATTATTATTATTTTTCCAACTCAAAATTGTCTGGGAGCCATATGTCGTCACTGGAAGAGCCATATATGGCTCGCGAGCCATAGGTTCCCGACCGCTGATCTAGAAGCATCCAGCAGCATCCCACTGCCTCGTGCGGTGCTACGCCGAGGCCGCCGTACGACCGCTGATTCCTACTCGCGCTGCGACGTAGTCTGTTCGCTCGATCGCGCTATATCCAATTCGCATCCGCGTTGTAAAACAAAGTTGTGTTCCCTCACACATTCATCGCGCTGTATTCAATTCGTTTTTGTTGTGTAAGCGGCTGTTCTTGCCTGCACCTCTGGCGCGTTGTTCCAATGCAGCCTGCGCCCCTCTGATGTGCCTCTCCGTGCGCTGTGACGACACGCACCACGGATCTCCCTTGCAAGCTAGCTGGGTAACTGGCTCTATTGCACTTTCCGTACAACAAATTAACATTGATTGATTCAATTCCTCCTCCTACTACTACTACTAAAAGTGTCTTGAGACTCAACGAGGCCATCCTGGGTAAACAAGCGTAATGATACATTACAGTAAATATTAATTTTAAAAAAAACCCGTTATTCTTTACACCCCCCACCCACTCTCCCTCGGCGGCAGGTCGGGCTGTGGTGTGCGGCGTGCGCTGCGAATTCCCTCCCGCGTTGCGCCCCCTCGTGTCCGCGTCCCGATACTGCAGAGATCCCCCGCGTTCAAACTAAATGCCATCGTGACTTCAAGCTTTCGTGACTGCAGGAATTCATATTCTTTGGGTCTTTCGGTAAAGTCACGTAGATAGGTTCAAAGGAAAATAACACGAGTTTTTTAGTTCTTTTTTCGTGATTTTCTTTGAACATATCTACGTGACTTTACCGAAAGACCCAAAGAAAAAAAATTCCATCGCTCGTTCAACGCGGCAGTGGTCGATGCGTTCCTGACAAAGAGAGCCGCGTTGAGCGAGGAATTGCCGCTGCTCATGGCTGCGGCGTGACAGCAATGGAAGGGTGCGCGTGTGGAACAAAAACCCACCTCCAGACATTCACAGACACGGCACAAAGTCGCCTTTATTGACTAGTGTGTCGTAGCGGACACTTGAGAACTTACACGGATTATTAGTTACATGAGAACATTGTCAAAGCAGCTAGCGACACATCTAGCCTCGTGCGGCAACACACACTTGTGTCATATGAATGCTCACTTCATCGGGTGTCCCTTGATTGCTACGTGTGTGCAGTGTTTATTTTGTGTGTTTTAGTTTGTGGTGTTTAAGTTTGCGGTGTTTTATTTTGTGTGTTTTAGTTTGTGGTGTTTTAGTTTGTTGTGTTTTAGTTTGTTGTGTTTTAGTTTGTGGTGTTTTAGTTTGTGGTGTTTTAGTTCGTCGTGTTTTAGTTCGTGGAAGCGCAGTACAACAGCAGACCGGCTTGCTGTACTGCCCTCCGCTGCGTAAACCACGTGGTCCCACGACAACCTGTGCCCAGTGTTGTGCGTTGTGGTCATCCGGCCAATGACTGGACAGGCTCCAAAAACCCCCACCTCCTCCACCCGCTTCGCTTCCAAGATCTGACATGATTGGGCGCATTTCAGGCGAGATATGGTCATCGGCAGTTAATGCGATCAATTAAAACAAATGTTCTATTTATGTGACAAACCTTACTAATTGGCTGTGTCGGGTGGTGGCGGGTTCAACGACACATTTATGCGATCTAACCCAACAAAAACCTTTAACTATGGATTAAACAAATCGTTGACTGTTGACGCGAGTGGGAGTCATCGACTGGTGTAGTAATGGGTACGTGATGGCAGAGGTGTGGACTCGAGTCATGTGACTTGGACTCGAGTCAGACTCGAGTCATGAATTTGATGACTTCAGACTCGACTTGGACTTGCATAACAATGACTTTGTCCCACCTCTGAGGTGTGGACTCGAGTCATGTGACTTGGACTCGAGTCAGACTCGAGTCATGAATTTGATGACTTCAGACTCGACTTGGACTTGCATAACAATGACTTTGTCCCACCTCTGCGTGATGGTATTAACTTTGAAAAGGTCTAATGCAGGATTTCCCTGACCCCAGTCCTCACGACCCACCGCCACGCTTCGCCATCCTGCATTTACCAAATGACTCCTCCACCATTCAAAAACAGGTTAACGCATCCCATGCTGCATGCGCCCGATGGTTGTTAAACACATCCCACGTGACACGCTAAGCAGTTAACGCTGTGTCACATGGAACACGTGTGCTGTACCCGTACACGAACCACTTTACTGCTATTTTTGTTTTACCAGGTGAGGCCCATTGAGCTATGTAGCTCTTCTTCAGAAGCGATCTGGCCGTCACAAATGATAGCTCAACGAAGTAGTGGCTCATCATCACGTGGGCATGTATAGCAGCCAAATACTCTAAATGTTTTTAAATGTGGAGGGAAAAAACCAGAGGATCCGGAGAAAAATCCACGCGACCACGGGGAGCACATGCAAATATACAGCAGCAGGCGTCAGGGTCGAAATCGAACCCACGACCTCCTGTATACCAGGCGAGGTAGTTAACATCTCGCCACATGTATTGTGTGTGTGTGTATACACGAAATACGTGTACACCACACGTGCACACTGAGATCTTAATGTAACGTGAATCGGCTCTATTAACGCAAGAACGTTGATTGTTTAGCGGCATCACGTGGGACGTCTTTGACAATCATCGGACGCGGGCAGCAGCGTGGAACCAAGTCACGTGTGCTTGAATGGGGAGTAAATTCGGTAAACGCGGAAAGACGTAGCGTGGTGAGTCGCCAGGAATTGGGAAACCCTGGTCGAATAAAACCTGGATCTACCGATTACAATTGATTCTTAGAACACAATGCATCCAGGGAATGGGGGGGTCATATTTGTTGCATGTCAAACTTGAAATCCAGCTGGGTCTGTTCCGTGTCATTGACCCGGAAGATACGGTTCAGCACACCGGCACATCGCAGCGAGGGTGCCGCTCGCTATGCCTGCTGGCTGCTCGTCGCGTGTGACTTGTCTATTCCAGTCGAGCAGCGACGCAGAAGATTAGTCGTCGATGAATGGATCCCCGGCCGTATTCGCGGTCAGCTCGCTAAGACCTCTACCGGCATCACATTGACAAAAACTAATAAGAATGAGGCGTTAATGAACGTTACTTAACATTACATTATGAAGTAAGGTGTGTCTGTATCGCTTGTTATTCCTATACTGACCGATTTCTTATATATATATATGTTTTTTTCATCACGTGTAGTGTACTGCGTCACGGAAGGCAAACGCCTTCGGCCGTACACGCACCGCTGTGGGCGGCACGGGCCACCCTGAGCTGGCGAGCGTCAGTCCAGAGTGTGGAGGGGGGCTGGCTCACTTCTTCTGGAGCAGCTCCTCCTTGAGCTTGTGAGCCACCCTCTTCCTCTGCTCCAGCGTCTGCGACTCCTCCGTGCGTGCGCCCTGCGGTGAGCACACAATGTCATCAGCACGCGCCAGCTCTGCCGTTGGCGCCCTAATAACGAAAATGATGATGATGATGATAACAACGAAGGTGCCACAATACAATTGCTCGCTCACGCACCTACTGGCAGGAAGTGCACCCGATTAGCTACGTACGGTGCGAAAGAAGTTCAACGTACTGTACGTACAGCTCTATCGAGCATCGCTCGGTGGTGTGTGGCCAACTCTTGCACGTTGGCCAGTGTGCCTCAGAAGAGGCGTTGGGTACACCCACATTTTATCCCACTACGCATAATCGGCCGATCGACTCACCGTGGTGTACTCATTTATATCTGCTGGTTGGACAGATGTGGTGAGGGCAGGGGGGATTTAATAAACGTGATCCATCGTTTAACACGTAGGCTTTCGCGACCAATATTATTCATAACAAAGATTTTTGGGTTAGATCGCGTTGGTATAAATGTGTCGTAAGCCTCCACCATCCGACGCAGCCAGATAGGTTCGTCATGTAAACAACGCGCCAATTAGTTACTACTTCAGCCCACTGGTGTGTTGGAGAGCGATCCATCGTTTTATACTCCAGGGCCGGGAGATCGAACCGGCGACCTCTGGATTGCAACAACAGCGCCCTTTAGTTACTCGAGCATGAAGGCCTCGCCGAGTCTCAACACCTCCTCAGGAAGGTCCTGATCTGCTGCACAGACGGGTTCAACGAACCCGCTTGCTGTGCTGCCATCTCCTGTCTACCTCGCATGCAAAGCCGAAAGGTTACTAATATTATTATTGTAACATCAATGCATAGAGGTGTGGCGGTTGAAATATACTTCTTGAAAGAAAGACGCCATCAGAAAAACGAATAGATCAGACGAGTTGGCCTGTGGCCGCATCTGCGCCCGAGAGCCATTGCTGATGTTGGCTGCACGTGATTAGATTCTCTGCTTCTGTTGCATTAAATCAACAGGTAAGTTCAACCTCTGCAGGCCCCGCCCATTCCTGTTATGCCCCGCCCCCATCACTCCCTAGACCACGCCCCTTCCTCTGCAGGCCCCGCCCATTCCTTTTTAATGCCCCGCCCCCATCACTCCCTAGACCACGCCCCTTCCTCTGTAGGCCCCGCCCATTCCTCTTTTATGCCCTGCCCCCATCACTCCCTAGACCACGCCCCTTCCTCTGCAGGCCCCGCCCATTCCTCTTTTATGCCCTGCCCCCATCACTCCCTAGACCACGCCCCTTCCTCTGTAGGCCCCGCCCATTCCTCTTTTATGCCCCGCCCCATCACTCCCTAGACCACGCCCTTCCTCTGCAGGCCCCGCCCATTCCTCTTTGTGCCCTTCCCCCCCCCGACTACTTCGGCCCCGCACCTTCCCGCGGGCACGGGTTTGGGCTTGTTTGGGTAGCCGTGGTGGGGGTTGTAGAAGGGGGGTGGTAGGGTGGTGATGGAGGGAGGGTAGCAGTGGTAGTGGTGAGCGGGGCTATGGATCGGGTGGCTACACGACAGCGACGACCTCAATCCTTTTAGAGCAGCACTATAAGAGCATTATAGATTAAAGCTCTTATAATTAAAGATTCTTATAATAATACTAGATGGACTAGAGCAGTGGTCGACAAACCAAAATAACAATAAGAGACAATTTTTTTCGAATTCGGTAAAAACTCAATATTTCATGAGCCGCAATGCATGTCAATACGAGACCGTGGCCCTTAATAAAGAACGTCACGAAACAGTCTTTAAGGAAACGCATGCGGCTCCGGAACTGCAGGTTGACAACTCCTGCCCATGGTAAAGTGGACTCCCATGGTAATCTCCCATGGTAATGTAGACTCCCATGGTAAACTGGACTTCCATGGTAAACAGGACTCCGTAAAAAAAAAACCCTCAATATTTCAAGAGCTGCGATGCAGTCCTTGAAGGGCCGCATGCGGCTCCGGGGCCGCAGGTTGCCGAATGAAAAACACGCCTGCGTGTGCGCACGCCGCTCGCCTGTTTCCCCGTGGCCGTGGCTGCCGGCGCCGGCCGATCGGCGACAGCGCCGCCCGTGGCCGACGGGCCTCTCCGCGGAGCGTCCCCGTCGCCGCCGCAGCCGCCGGCCGTGCACGCGTCCGCCCTGCCGGGACCCGGCGCCTTTCGGTCGTTGGAGAAGGCGCTGGCCTGCCGCTGCGACGAGCCCAGCTGCTCGCGTTTTGCCGCCAGCAGGCGGTCCCGCTGCTGCCTCAGGTACTCCTCCCTGCTCCGCAGCTCTTCCGCAGACAGGTTCTACCAACACGCGTTGACACACACAGAATCAGAGAGGTTCTACCAAGACGCATTGACACACACACACAGAATCAGACAGGTTCTACCAACACGCGTTGACAGACACACACAGAATCAGAGAGGTTCTACCAACACGCGCAAACCTCGCCAGGACGTGGAGCGCCACACTCCAATGTTTTCAAAAATTACATCGTGAGAGGGCTCCCCCAGAACTCTGGTAGTACCGCGGGGCGGGGGGGGGCACGGCACATCCACTCGAGATATTTGGGGGATGCACTTCAATTGAGCAGATGCTAAAAGGACGACGTTTTGCACGGTGTCGCCGCACCGGTCGGCCCTACGTGACCTCATCGCATCTAGTGGCATCATCACATCTACCCCAGCCGCCTGGAACAAAACAAAACAGGATTTCTCCACAAATCTGGATGTCCGCCTAATGATGGCGGTTGTAATTACTGGCAAAACGTCGTACTCAGATTGTAAATGTTGTGTATTTGCTCTCCGACACACCGGTGTGCTGCACTAGTAACGAAATGGCACGTTCTGTTTACGTGACAAACCTTACTAATTGGCTGCGTCGGGTGGTGGCGGGTTTAACGACACATTTATATATTTACGCGATCTAACCCAAACCTACGTTATGGATGATATTGGTCGTGAAAGCCTACGTAGTGTTAAACTGCCCGTACGTGTTTCAGGGAGACGGCTGCCTCCTTGGGCCTCGTCTCGTGGAGCTTAGAGGCCTGGGCCTTGCCCGGCGGGGCCGCCCCGTTGGGCTGGCTCGCTCGGGGCTGCTGCTGTTGCCGCTGCTGGGCCACCGCATCCGCGCTCATCCCACCTGGCGGCTCGGAGGGGAGTTGGTGTGGAGGTGGCTGGGTTGCTTGACTCCCGCCTGTGGAAGCAGAGCGTTGCTGTGCCATTGGAAACACGTTGTTGAGCGCAAATGGACACGCCCGGGTACATTCTCAAATGTAAGGTGGTGCACATACAATCCCTTTGTGCCAATCGAATGCTAGACCATATTTAACCACGTTAGGGAGCTGTGTGGCTCAAACCTGCTGAGCCTCCGAGATCTGATGGGTATTCTCGTGATCTGGCAATAGAAGGTAGCGAATCGCAGCGAGACGTGTCGAAGGAACTCATGGGGTGTGGATGGTTGGCCGGGTGGCTCAGAGGTCCAAGCACTGAGCTGGCGCCACTGAGATCCTGAGTTGGAATCTGGGTGTCAGCCACTCGTGAACAACCCGGGTTCTCAAACGCATTAGGTTGACAGTCTCATTCCCGGTCACCAAATGACTGCGCAAAAACGATTATGTTAAAGTTGGCTTTGACACTTTACTTGGCGAAATTCCAGCTCTTGAGAATCAAAACTACGTCCGCTTGAATTCCACGTGACAATTCTCATAGCAGGGTGTGTGGGAAAGTGTACCCCGAGCTGCGTGAAGATTAACGGGGCCACGTGAAGTCTACTTGATGAGAAATCCCACTAAAGGTTTCTTCGATAGCCATTCTGGACACGTGGGTCTGCGTTGCTCTTTGAGAGTTCCAGACGGAGCCTGCGGCTCTTGACACGACCGCAAGAGTACAAGTGGAAAATCGTAATAATACTTGGGAAAAGCACAACAGCGTGTAACTGACCAGGCACAGACGGGACGTCCTGCCGCGCTGCTGGTGCAGATGACGCACCGGCAGCCTGGTGCTGGGATGGGCCCGTCGCGCCAGGCGGCTCGTCCGCAACGTCAGAACAGCGTCGACCGCTCGGGCCCGGCACGTCCGCGCAGCACTCGCTGACCTAGGCCGAGACCCACGCGCGTGATCAGGCGGGACGCCAGCGGCGCAGGGCTCCGCCGCGTCACACCCATTGGCACTTCCTTCAAGGGCCACTCTCGCAGCCTCCATCATCCTCAGTGGTCATCACCAACATCATCTGGCACTTCACCTTGTCACAAGAGTCAACGCGTCCTCCAGGGACCGTTCCTACAGTCTCATCATCATCATCACCACCACCACCGTCGGAGCTCACCCCGGTAACCTGCGCTCCTCCACTCTGCATGCGTGTCGTGGGTTGGCCCGGCCATTTCCCAGGGTCCTGGACTGTAGCGAGATATGTTTTTGAAAAAGAAAGCCACTCTAAATCGTGGTGTCCGCGACAGCTCCGCAGAGCGATTCCCATGCCCTGACGGACCAACCAGTGGTCCGCGACCCCATAAGCTGGGAACACCCCGGGGTCAACCGAGGCCAACGTGGTCCAGTTACCACACACACATAACCATCGCCCCCCCCTTCTAGCTTGCCCAGGCCGGGTGAGCTGAGCTATGAAGATGTGAAACCTGATGATGGATGGAGCCCTGTAGCAGAGGTCGCCCTTCTCTGCATGGCTCTTCATCCTCCTGCTCCTCCGTGGTGCCGGGCTCCAGGATGCACGACCTCCTCCACCGCTGCTCCATCTCGTACTGCTGCTTGGACGCCCTGCATACCCCACAAATGCAGCCGTGACAAAGATCCCCCGGTATAGCCCTAACAGGCTGTTGGGGCAAGTCCCGTTAGCGAGCACCTATGTAGGGCCGGCACGGCACACGAGGGGGCGGGTGGCCAGCACCACGCCCGGCCGCCTTTGTCACCCCGGTGGCGATGTTTACACACCGCACAGGGTACTTATTTGAGGCTGAGTCGACCTAGGGGAGGACTAGGACCGGTTGAGATAATCGTCACTGGTGTTGGCCTTGAGTGGGAATCAATCTTGGGCCCCCGGGTTTGTAGCGCAGCACGCCAACCGCGACACTACCGCTCCCCGCACACACGAGTCGACGCACGTATTGAATGTTTAAGAAATTATTTCAATCGCCTCATCAGTTCGTCTGCGCTGGTCTCTGGGAAACAGCCCAAAGTGTCACGACCATTATCGGCCACGAAATCCGCACAAAAACACAACGGAGACTATTTGTGAAACAAACTAAAGCCATTTTCCAGTGGGCAGTGGGACCGACTAAAAGGATTTGCGGGCCTACGCATTACCACCGCCTAATTTGTCAGTGATAACTCTCCTGGGCATCCTCGGCCCGGGACGATCGTCCTGAATTCCCCCCGCTAAGAGGCTTATCCGGAGATTGTCTTCAAAGCTCGTTTTTCAAAAATCCTCTCCCGCTCGCTCCGCGCACATTCCCGCCGGGAAATTTTGGGCGGGCGATTTTTGATTTTGGCAGCGCACCGTGCAAACCCCCCCCCCCCGTCCCCCGTCGATTAATTTCCCCCCCCCTAAAAAATTCGCACACTCACGGCCACCGTGGCCTAAGGACAGACACACAGTGACTTCGCTTGGCCCATCAGGGCGTCGTGGGATTGCTCCGTGGAGGTGTTGCAGACACCTCGTTTTAAAGTGGCTTTGAATATATATTCTTGGTTCTTTCGGGAAAGTCACGTAGATAGAAAACTAAAAATATTAAAATTTTAATTTTTTTGTTTCCTATCTACGTGACTTTACAAAAAGAACCAAGAATATGAATTCCTGCAGTCATTAAAGTTTTAAGTCAAAATTTGCCTTTCAATATTCCAAAAAATATCTTGTTACAGTCCGCAGCAGGCATCAGGGTCAGGATCGAACCCATGACCTCTTATATATTAGGCAAGGCAGACAACATCTTGCCACCACGGAACCCAATCGACCTCTCTGTGGTCTCTCTGTTTAAGTGCTATGAAGAAGGGACATTGCCTGAAACGTCACCATATTTATATTGTCCTTTAAACGCCACTCGCGGTGTTATTGACGAACAAGTTGAGTTTGTTGTTATTTGTGCTTGTGCACCACTGTCAATGCAGCAGCAGCATCACCAAATAAATTGTTCGGTTATTAATACACGGGTGCCACAGTGGCCAGATGTTAACTACCTCACCTGGTGTACAGGAGGTCGTGGTTTCAATCCCGACCCTGGCGCCTGCTGCTGTATATTTGGAGTTTGCGTGTCTCTCTCCCCGTGCTTGTGTGGATTTTTCCTCCGGATCCTCAGTTTTTCCCTCCACATTAAAATCAACATCATGCATTTAGAGTATTCGGCTGCTATAAATGTCCACGTAATAAGCCACTTCATTGGGATATCATCTGTGGCGAGGTCGCTTCCGAAAAAGAGCTAACTTAGTGGGCATTACTTGGCTAAATAAAAAAAAATTGTCCGGTTTTAGTTTAGTTTTAACATAAAATCAGGCACTCACGCCCAGCGTACCTCTCTGTGTGATCGACACGTGCCGCATCATGATATCCCTGGGAGCTTACGCGCCCCGCACGGCTGCCACGTTCGCGAAATCCTTCCGCAGTCCCACGCCGGCCGCCAACGGCAGCAACGCCGCCGACAAAGGAGGCCCTGTTTCAAGCTCTTTGGCAGTCCGTTTTGTGTCCCGGGTGTGTGCCGACCGAGCTATATCTGTGTTACACCGATAGAGACGCAGAGCCCATTCGGAGCCCTCGCGGGGCGGTGCAACCTGGCGACCGCCAACATCGCGACATCTGAGAAGCCGATTTAACCGGAGGGCCTCAGCCTCGACTTGAACCCGGGGGTCCGAGCTGTGTCAGCTCGCTGCTCTGACCTCTGAGCCACGCGGCCACTTCAGGGGTCTTGTTTCATATAAATGCACACAGTCTGTTCTGTCAGGCACCTTGACATCTATCGTGCTGTGACACTCCTCAATAACGCAGCGACGCTCCTCCAGCCTCAGCTCCTTCCCACTCACTGACTCCCGTGCCGTCCACCGCTCACCGCTGTGCCCGGCACTTGGGTGGCCACGTGGAGACCCTGTTTCACCTTGCTGTGGCCGTGCACAAAGCATTAGGGCAGGGGGATCAGGCATCTTACGCAAGAGGTGGCCGTTTGGGTGGGGTAAGGATGCTATGGACTCGATTAGAGATTCGTTGATCGTGGCGCTTCCTAATTGTGGATTAGGGCCACCACACTGTATATGGTCACGTGCTAGTCCAGTATGGGCGGCCTCTCTTCCACTTGCCCGACCTGCAGCCACTCTTCTTAACAATTGGACGTCCATAATATTTAAAAAAAATGCCTAATTCGACATCTGAACGCGCGCGGTGCGGTGGCCGCCCTTGTTAGAATGGCCAGCCAAAATCCGCCGCCAGCATGACCGGAGTCTGCGTGATGGTTGACGCAACTTGACGAGATCAGCAAGGTGGAATTGTGGTTCATTTGTGGCAAGCACTCTGTGTGTCATGAATGCGACCAAACTGCTTACTCTATCCTCCTCCACCCTGCACACCGTGTCCCACCCATCACTCCTTCCACTCCCTCCCCCTCCCCATTGCATCGTCAACCCACGTTACATTGCGAACCCCCAACTTGCTTCCCCGCCTATCCAGCCGTGACACGGCCTGGTCGGTTGGCCAATTACACAGGGGGACAGGGGTGGCCGGAGTTGGGAGACGGAGCAGAGAGAGAGAGATGTGACTAAGGCACCTGATCGCCTCCTGCAGAAGTTGCATCTCTTCCCGGTCCAGCTCTCCTGCCTTGTCCAATCCGTCCACGCTCATGCACTCGGGTATCACGCCTGCAGCACAGCGGCAACACGGCCACAGATTAACCACCACCACCACCACCCACCGCCATAGGCAGCCGTCTCACCCGTGGGCAGCGGCGTACGAAGTCGGACGCGTCGGAGGATGTTGGAAATGCTCGTTGATGAACGTCTTGGGTGTTTTTTTCAATTACATTTCGTTTCCTTTTTGGTTCTTTGGGTAAAGTCACGTAGGTATAAAATAAGATTAAATCACGACGTTTCGGGCGCAACACAAGCCTCCGTCATCAGGTGGGACAACCACAGCAAGAAACACTTCAGCAATTGTTTCTTGCTGTGGTTGTCGCTTGTGTTGCGCCCGAAACGTCGTGATTTAATTAAAATTTTCACCTACGTCACTTTACCGAAAGAACCAAAGAGTATGGATCCCTGCAGTCACGAAAAACTTCAAATCTAGATTATATTTCGTTTGTGCGTGAGAATACTGTGTTACAATTCTCACCACTTTTTTATACGGTGTTCTCCTTTTGTGCTTTTCTTACTCGTTTTTATTGACGTAGTATTACACTGTGCTCTTTTGCCTACCTATTGCCTCTATTGAATTTGTTGCTGTTATAGCTGCTGCACTGCTTGAGAGGAGAGAGAGCTTACAAGTAAAGCACGTCACTGCACCGCGTTACACTTCGCTGTATCCTGTGCATCTGACAACTCAACTTTAGATTGATTACATTTGGTATTTGCGCCACTCTTACAGTGCGAGGCTATCACGACGAAGGAAGGTGGCGTGATTTTTAAAGACGCAGTGTGCGGTAGTTTCACTCTGATGGATTGGAGGGGGGGTGCCAATGTTTGCGTGTTTCCAGTTGAGTCATCTGTCGGTTACATTTAAAACTTGGACCACGACGTCGGTACGGTTGGCTATGTTACGGTGCGAAAGAAGTTCAACATACATACACATACAGTACGCACGCAATGGGCTTGCTCTTTTTCGGCTGACGTCACGGGATCTCTAACGTCCCCCGGGAAGCAGATGGCGCGTGGTATTTTTTTTACGGTAAATGCACCCACGGTAATAACGAGGGCGGCGTCCGGGTTCGTACGGTGAAGCTCGGAAACAAGCGACGAACGTGCCACAGCTCTGCCATGTCACCCATCACAGTTTCTAACAAAAAGACAAAGATCCCCCGTATAGCCGTAACAGACTGTTGGGGCAAGTGCTCTGAGCGAGCACCTATGAAGGCCGGCACGGCACACGAGGGGGTGGGTGGCCAGCACCACGCACGACCGCCTTTGTCTCCCTAGTGGCGATGTTTACACACCGCACCAGGTACTCATTTGAGGCTGAGTCGACCGAAGGGACGCCCAGGACCGGTTCAGATGATCGCCACTGCTGTTCACCGTGAACGGGAATCGAACTCGGGTCGCCGGATACATGGCGCATCAGCGCGAACTGCTACACCACCGCTTCCCACAATTTTTTACAACAACAACTGCCATTCGCCACTAAGTGGCGGTGACATCACCATGGTGCTTGTGCTAGGCACTTTAAGGCCACGTGAGGTGTCGAACGCCTGCTGGCAGGAGGCCACGGGACAGACCCAGGTGCCATGGGTTGACTGACTGAGATGACTGGCCGATGCACCACCTGTACCCCTTACTAACACACACACACACGACATCTGAGCCACCTGGCCACCGCCACGCTTCTGCCGCTCACCCTTCTGCTCCTGCAGGTGCATGAGCGCCTGCAGCTCCAGCTCAATGTTCTTGCGCACCATGAGCCCCTTGAAGAGCTCAAAGTCGTCTGCTGCCAGCACGGGCTCGAAGACCTGCTGGCGTCACACGCGGCAACACAAAGAGAAAGACGATGATCCCCCGTTTCGCCTTAACAGACTTTTGGGGCAAGTGCTGTTAGCGAGTAGCACCTATGAAGGCTGGCACGGCACACAAGGTGGCCCGTATAATATTAGGAAGCTACTGGAGCCGTGTATTTTGTTTGTAGTCCTTCCCCCGCACCTCAAATTTGCACGGTTGGCTACGTACGGTGCGAAAGAGGTTCAACAAACAACAACACACCTGGCCACCTTTGTCCAAGCAGGAAAGCAGCCACAACAACTGCCCAACCTCTGGGGTCCTTTTCACGTGAAGGCAATATCAGCCAAACGATGGGAGTGTCAACACATGGTGAGGAAAGCGGAGCACCTCCAGATAGCCCACACATGCGAGGGGGCAACTCTCCACCTGTACAGAAGGCACAGGTGGAGCCTGGCAAGCCAGGGTCCTCCCCCTCCTCCTCCCTGACTCCCACGGGAAGCGAGTTTCACGACGTCTACGCGGCGATTCACCAACCCTCGCTGCTGCCTCCGCAGCGCTGGATTACAAGGCTTGCGCCACTCCGCAGCCCGGCTAAGTCGACATGCATCAAGATGTTAAGCCTGGGATTTGTAGGGGTGAAGAGTAGTCAGCATTGTGGATGGCCACGAGGAGCTACAGCAGTGAGGGCAGCAGAGGAGGGCTCTCGTTGAACACAATTCACCCCGAATGCACCCGATCCCATCCGATCTCACACGCAAAAATGGTAGGTCCTCACTTGACGCGTGGTGCTCACGCGAGTTCTCGCGGTAACGTGGTTCTCCCATTAGAGAACACGTTTCGCACAACGCGGAAGGCGTGCCGTTATAACGCAGAACACTGTTATAACACGGAATGCGCCCGTTATAACGCGGAATGCGTACAATTATAACGTAAAACGCACACCGTTATAACGCGGAATCCGTACCATTATAACGTGAAACACACACCGTTCTCACGCACTTTCTGAGCGGTTGACAACGAACTACTTTTTTAGCTGAGCGGTACAGTGATACGGTACGTGGATTGATGCGGTAACACGGTGGTTTACCCTCAGTTACTTGTCCCGCCATCTCACTGCGTGCGTGTAGTAGTAGTACATGGTATCTCACCAAACTTTTACCGTTACATTATTTATGGGAAATAGTTTGTTCTCCAACCGCCTTTTTCGCCCAACGTGGCACTTTCCAGGAACGCATCTACTACTGCTGCTATTGCTGCTGCTATTGCTGCTGCTACTGCTGCTACTGCTGCTGCTACTACTGCTGCTACTACTGCTACTACTGCTGCTGCTACTACTGCTGCTGCTACTACTGCTGCTACTACTACTGCTACTACTGCTGTTACTAGTGATGCTGCTACCGCTGCTACTGCTACTACTGCTGCTGCTGCTACTGCTGCTACTGCTGCTACTACTGCCACCACCAGCGCGTTGTTGGCGTTTTTAAAACGCAAAAATAATTAGTGCAGTGGCACGCTTTGCACGTCAAGATGACAGGACCATCCTTGGGTACATGGCGAGTCCTCGAAATTCCGGGGTGGGGTGCCCCAGTATTGCCGTGGAGTGCCACTGTGCCTCCTCTTCTATTGAAGGAGCACAGGCCACAGTGGTCTACTGTACGGTCCATAGTTTGGGGTGTCGCGGTGACATTGAGATGTTAACTACCTCGCCTGGGATGCAGGAGGCCCTGGGTTCGATCACGACCCTGACGCCTGCTGCTGTATATTTGGAGTTGGCATGCTCTCTCCGTGATTGCGTGGATTTTTCTCCGGGTCACTGCGGTTATTTTTCACTCCACGTTTAGAATCAACATCACGCGTTCAGAGTATTTGGCTGCTAGACACATCCACGTGACAAGCCACTTCGTTGGGCTATCGTTTGTGGCCAGGTCGCTTCTGAAAAAGAGCTACGCAGCTCAGTGCGCCGTGCCTGGTCAAATACAAAATAGTTTAGTTTGCAGTTAGTTAGCGTGGCCACATTCACGCTGCTGAGGCTCGCGGCGAGATGTTCAGAGAGGTACGGGCGCCGCAGACACACCCCGCCCGACCGCCTTTGTCTCCCCACCGCCGCACCGTGACCACCTACGTGCAGGTGTTCCGACTGCACACTCTGGGCGCTGCACGCGTCCAGCAGCTGCTGCTCCGAGATGCCCATGTCCTGCAGGTAGCTCTCCAGCAGACCCTCCACCTACACACGCAGGCAGGCATGGCATGGCGGCTGGGGGAGCCCCACACTTTATGCTGGACGGCTGCCCCACGGTATAATCGTTTAGCCGCTGTGCACTGGCCCCTATACAAAACCAAAACAAATCTTAGATATTTATCGCAACGAGCGACTTTTTACCCGCGGCACCCCACGGGAAGGGGTGTAGAGTCAAGGATGTAATATGGGAAGATAAAAGAGTTAAGAGGAACGGGAAGAGAGAAGACAAGCATGGGAATCAGAGGAAAAGGATGGAAAAGGAATGGAGAAATGGGACCCGAGGTGTCAGGGAACGTGAGGATAGGGAGGAAGAGGCGACCTAAGGGGCTTCGACGCTGTTGTCACAGCGGGCGGGAGAGGGAGCAATTTCGCATCTGTGATTTGCAGGTTGGCGACGTACGGTGTGAAAGAAGTTCAACATACACGCATACATTCTAAGGGGGGGTCGGCCACACAGAAGTGGCGTGATTTACAGGAGGCTCGAGCTGATTGAGATATACAGTAGAGGTCTATCTGCAGCAGAATGTCGCTGAGCAACCAGGAAAGCAGTGCTGTGGACAATGCAGTCTGCAGTGACACGGTGTAGAGACGCGGCGTGCAGTGACACACTGTGTAGTGACACAGTGTGTAGTGATACAGAGTGCCACTGCGCCCAATGAAGCTGGAACCTGGATTTGAACCTACGATTCCAGAGTTGCCAGCGCACGGCTCTGACACGGCCATCATGAGTAAGGCCATGGACCCACCACCCCGCCCACTCCATTCTACCCTCAAGGCAGTTTTTACTTGCGTCAATGCCATGAGATGCGATGGCATTTAGACAGGGCATGTGAATTGACAACCGTTTGTCGTTGTTGTACAAGTTGCATCCTCATTAAGACTCATCAGTCGAGTGCTGCACAGCCATCATTTCCTACCGCTACAATTTGTGACCGGGGGATTTATGATGAGTGGGCAGCCCAGTGTCTGCATGGTGGAGGCCCAGGAGGGCAGAGAAATCTGCGGTACAGGCAAAGC